AATTGATTGGTTATGGTTCATTACAGAATGATCTGCAATCTTTGCAACAGTGCAAGATTTTAGTGTCGGTGACACTGTCCAAGACCTAATTTGGTCATCACTTGTATTTTTTTTTGAAACATGTTACACTCAACTTAGCGTTAGTCAACTGTATCGGGCGTGGATCGTTCCGATGCATAGAGCGAGAGTGAAGGGTCATAATGTAGGTCAAATGTTGGCACGCGAACACCACGAGTCTCAAGCACGCGATTAGATTCTTCTGGTCCTAACACATTACCAAACGTCTTTCTAATCCGAACGACAAGCCACGACCAATAAATCTTGCAGTTTCCTCACTGAATAATTAGAGTCCGATCGTGAGGGCATCGCCAAGGGTCAGCAGCAACCGCAGCCACGCCCAGGGAAAGTGATCAACCCCATGACGATTCTTAATAACTTCTTTATCTCTGCTACGCAACGATTATGTAAAACAGCCGCGAGGATCGTAGATTGGTAGCTGGCGACTACTTTTTTATAATCCAGAGGCCATATTTTTGCGTCATGAAACGATTTACATCCGTCTAATTTTGGCAAAAAGTCGAATTGGACAAATCCGGGTTTGCTCTAAGCAAAAAAGCACTGATTTGAGATTGTGGAGAAAAAGCAGAGGAATTCTACCGTAAACAATTACCAAGAAACGATAGTGTTGATATTTAGAGGCGGAGAAAAAAGGGTACGGTTATGTGAGGTGTCTGGGGCAGTGCGACAAGCGTGAATGATTGTTTTGCAAGAGATTTTGGGAGCAAGGATCATGGAGATATTACGCAGGATATTAAAGTGAAATACTGAAGAATTTCAAAGCTAGCGATTTCAACAAGAGTTTTGAATATTTGCTACGATGCTGTGATACAAAGACACGATTTTTCTCGTTATTAGATATACCTAGATAAAGAAAATGTCAAGTATTACTAACCCTTCTCTAAAAATTTACATTTCTTATCGTTTCCTGATCTAAATTTTTCTGAAAGATTTATACAGGCTCAACCAAAAGTAGCACACAAAATTAATAATTTTATGGGTCATTTTATAAAAAATCCTCAAACAGGTCGATTTTATTTTTGTAAATACATAATACATAATATATTTCCATTACATATACTATTGTTTGTTATCAGAATTTTTTTTAATGGCAACCAACATTTTTGTTTACACTACTTTTGGTAATATTTTTTTTTAAATATAGAAAAATGTACGTATTGCATACCAAAAACAGTTGCAATTTAAAAAACAAGAATAACGTCATTACTCAAAATCCAATGACGTAATAAATGTTACAATATTGGTAAAATGCAGCATTTATACAAGTAAAATCGACCTGTTTGAAGATTTTTTTTGGTAAAAATGACCATAGCAAAAATATGAATTTTGTGCGTTACTTTTGGTTTAGCCTGTATATACATTTTTGTTATATGGTAGATACATACAAGCTGGATTATGAAAAACGCCTCAAACCGTAATTCAATTATTTTTAAAGATATAACAAAGCTTGCACAGTTTATTTTTATCTATTGTTTGGGACAGATGCTCAATCAATGCTGCTTCCTGTTATACCGAAACTGACATCAATTTCAGTTTTTTAAATGGAACACTCTGTATATTTTATTATTTTTGGATTTATTATTATTGATTATTTATCTCTAAGTTTAGTTTTTAGGCAATTTAAAAATTAAAAATTAAATAGGCTGTGAAAGAATAGTAAACATTTTTATTCATTTTATCTAAGACAAGCAAACGAATTTTAACAAAAAACTGTTCAATTTTGATCAAAAAAGTATTGTAAAATATGGCTTAGGGCGTTTTTTTATAATCCAGCCTGTATGCAGGGTGTCAGAACTCGCACCCCAGAGAAAAATTTCAAGTAACATAAGATACAACTTCCTTGTTTCCTTTTATAATAGCCTGTAGCAAGAAAACTTGGAAAATTATTTTTCCAACAGAAATAAATATAGTCAAAGTGCAAAATAAAACTCTCATAACTTCGATCTTTTTATAGATAATTTTTTTTCCATTTTTCTGAAATCTTATTTCTCTCTGGGGCGCGAGTTCTGGCGCACATTATATTAAAAACAAATATTTTTATGTTTTCAAAACACTTTAATTAATTAAGATTTTTCAATATTTGCTTAGTCTAAATTGTGTAAATTTTATTTGTATAATTCACAGAAATCACTCAAAGCTTTTTAAAGATAACTAACCGTTTAAGATAGGTTTTGTTGTTCGTTTTCCAGCAATCGTCTTAATAAAAAGTCTTTGAATGTAAATAGCAATAAAAGTAAAAAACCAACAAAAGCAGTTAGCGGTTAAGCCCTGCAATAGAAGAAAGAAAAGTGAAATAACTAACTGAAGCGCATCTTCGACATGACTTTTGAAGCGTAACAGAATTATTATAGAGAAGATTGTAAGCCATTACAAAGATGATAGAAAACATTTTATTGAGCATGACACTAATCCTCAAAAATGCAAAACTTGTATTGACTGTAACCAACTTTTTGCAATGATTTTACTTTCACACATATTTTTTACGATAATTTTCGTTGCAGTTTTCTAAATGACGATCAAGGAATTCAATTAATTCTCACACTTTCGACTTTGATTGGTATTTGTGGCTGCGAAAACCACATGTAAAACGAAGAAACTTCCAGATTATTAAAACCACACTCTTAACAATTGCTAAAAATTGCAAACTGAACCGTAGAATCAATCAATCAACCGGAAGTCAATTAAATTTTTCCTCGACTATCACTACCAACGCTTTTTGCTAAAAATTATTAAGTCAAAAAACAGCAAAAGTCCATGACTCGCCAGGCAAAAGCCTATTTCCGGTCAACCGGAAACCGTATTAGCGAAAAAATCTAGGCCGCCAGTAATACTCCAATACCACCTTCCTGATGAAACGGTCGATATGTAGAGTGCCTTGTTGGGTATCACACCCAGCACTATCACAGTCACATGTCCTTGGTGACGCAAGTCCGGGCTACCGCAGTGAAAGTGACTCTCCACCCCACCCACCCGCGTGCGTAACACTCGAAGCCCCTGCAAGAGTACCACAGGGTCGAATCAGTGGCGGAGGCGATGCTGCTTTTTTCGGGATGACGCTGCGTTCTGGTCTAGGTCAGTTTTCCAGCCAGTGGGCCGAAACCAGTCACCAGAAATGACCTCTAACGAGATTAAGTCAAGCCATCAGCGGTTTTGGCCAATACGGAACTGAATAATTGAAAGATAATTAACGCCCATGTGAACCAGTAATTAAAGTGGGTAGCAACCAATTAGAATTTTTCCGAATCATTATTCTTCTTCACGGACACGTATCTTATCGATTCATCTGGTCCTTACTCTCCTACGTGTGATTTATCGACATCCGGGTGATCCGAAGAGAATTCAATGCTGGAGCAGGAACGAATCATTGATTTTTTGTAGAAATTCGGTAAAACTAAAGATGAACGGTTTCTATTAGATAACGTGGATCTCTATTACGGTACATTAACTGTCGAAAGTGTAGCACCGGATCAGAAATCCCGGAAATTACAAATGAAACGCATGATAGTCGCTTTTAAGGTGTAGAAATCACTTAATTGCGTTCAGAGACGTAATTTATTTCACACGCAACGCCGACCAATGAACATTATTGATTTAAATTACAAACAGACAGAAAAAATAACTGCGAACAACAATTAAATGAATATTTTTAAATATATTTCACCACAACACACATAAATAACAACAGCGAAGCAGGTCACATAAACAGTAAAGCTCGTATAGCTAGTGGTGCCATCTAATGCAGCTTTTATTGAAATTGTTGAAAAAAGTATTTTTTAATAGTTGGTGTCTACCAAGGATTATAAAAAAGAAAGAAAAATCTCAGTATCAAGTTGAGTCAATATACTTCAATGTACTTCTTGAAATGCAAAGTGTTTTAGAACTCGCGCCCCAGAGAAAAATGTCATGTAAGGTAAGATACCAGGAACATAGAAAACATGTTAAAAAAATTTTATCTATAAAAATTTCGAAATCATGCGAATTTACATTTTGCACTTTGACGCTATCTATTTTTGTTGAAAAAATACTTTTCCTTGTTTTTTTTTGTTCATGTTCCTGATATCTTTTTTTTTCACAAAACTCAATTTTACTTAACTAATTAATTAACAAAGGTTATTAACATAAAAGAGTTTTCTAAAGGTGCTAATTTTATTTACAATTCATTAAAAACTTAATTAAAAAACAATAAATTTCTTCCTGTATTAAAATGGCTTACTAAACTAAATTTCCAACGAATAATAAAGCAGATGTTATTATCTAATAGAATTCTAAATATGACAAGTTAAAAAGAAGAAAAATATAATAAATTCTTCTCGGAAATAACATTGCTCGCACTGTTTTCACTCATTTCAGCCATTTCCTCTTGTAGTTAAAATCCTTGATGAAAGATTACGGAATCATTCATCTTTTAGCAAGTCAGTGACTTTTCATTGATTAGACTGTAACTGATCTAAAGTTTACTACAAATTTAAAAAATGTATAGATTTCAATTTTTATGCGTTGCTAATAATGGCTCCAGTCCCCGCTTTCTTGTCACCAAAATGATGATTTACGCAGACTAAACAGTTACGCAGCTGCTGATTGCAAATATTCCGCTGAATAATTATGACAAGAGGAAGTTCACTGAAGTTATGTTAATGATAAGAGAATTATATGCTCGCTTTTCAGCATTTAACAGAAAGTCGCCAGTGCTCCTATAAATATACGTTTCCTGTTGTTTTTTGTTCAACAGTTACATCAAATCACTGCTAAAACAGACACATTTCACCGTATAATTAGCTACAAGCAATAAAAATAATTTGCTGCTGATAATTGCAGTAAACAATCAGACGTCTTCAAGTCGGGTAATAATAATAATTGAGGAGCAATCTTGGCAGTTTAAAGTGATTAAGGTGTAAGAAACACGTATGTCATGGTAATAAATTTATTAATTTATTTTACATTGTGATATAGGTGTCTAATATATGAGTGATTTAAATGAGTATAATAAACTATTAACAAACTATAAACTAGTACGTTTATTACTAATAACTGTAGATTGTTTTTTTTGTACAAAAATTAGCGTAGCTTTGGCTGAATTGGCTCACCTATAAGTGAAATAATTTTCCTATAATACACTTTTTGTTAATCAAACTAAAGCAACAAAATGAAAATTTTCCTAGATTATGTACAAACAACAATGGGAAATCACACAAAATGTACCACTATATTTACAATACAAACAACTTACAATTATTACATTAGGTTTTTGAAAGTGTGTTTGAAAAAAAAGTACTACAATTGCTTAATTCCGTGCAATAGTGTTCTGAAAAATTGACAAAATTCGTGTAGGAACTTTAAAAAGTTATAATTTTTGACTCTAACCAAGTCTCCGTATTTACAATAAATAACACTAACTAGAACTAAATTACGTTGATGCATAATAACACAGTTATTTGAGTCAAGCTTATCACTAAGTCGAAACTTTTATAGTCTGATCGTTGTTGTTCAACACTTCGTCCTCGATTTTATTCGCAGAAAAGTCCTCCAGTGGCGCCTCCTCCGAATACGTCTCGGAGTCATCCTCGTCCTTCCCCACAACGTCGATCACACTGTGCGAAGGTGGTGTATAAATCCGCGTCTGGTTATACGAATCACCCCCTGCGTAGGTCACTTTCCCCATGAAAGATCTAATCTCGTCAAAACACGCATCCTCTCTTTCGTTCTCGTTACTGCTCCCGGGAGAGTCGGCCACAGCCACTCCTCCACTCCCGTCGTCCGCTTCGTGCTTCTTCAGATGCCTATCTAAATTGGTTTGTTGGCCGAAACACCTTTCGCACAGAGGACACTTGAAAGGCTTCTCTTTGTTGTGAATATTCCTCACGTGCCGTTGCAGATTGCTCGAAATACTAAAAGAGCGTTCACAATAGCGACACTTGTAGGGCTGCTCCCCCGTGTGTGTCCTCAAATGCCGAGTCAGATTTGCAGAACGGGGAAAAACTTTACCACAAAATTTACAAGCGTACCTGTCCTTCATTTTCCCTTGGGCTTGTTGCTGGATCATGTCATGAAACGGTTTAGAATTGAAATTTTGGAGCCCAGGTCTTAGTAAATCAATTCTGTGAGAAGGCAGGGAGTTTAAAAATGGAAACCGAGGACCGAACGTTGGGGGTAGTAACCGGTCGTTGTTTTGAGGTTGGAAATTGGAAAAATTTGGGCGATACATTTCCAAAAATACCGGATGAATTGGCCGGGGGTAAGCCATCGGAGGGGTCGAAATCACCTCTTTCTTCTCTTCTTCCAAATCGACAACTTCGATTTTTTCTTCTTTGGGTTTTGGGAGTAAATCACGAATTTCGTGTTTAGTCAGGGGTTTTTCTTGAGAAACATTCCGAGATTTTTTCCAACCGATACTCAAGTCAAGGGGTTGGTCACCCTCCTCGCTACTCACCGATTGAGGAGTTTTGCTTTCAGTACTTCGGGACAAATCTTTAGGAAAGTCGTTATCTTCAGATTGATTGAGTTGGTCTCTCGGATTTGAGAGAATATGATTAGGTCTTGCTGGTGATGGAGTCAAATTCGCTTCTTCAGCAGTTGGAGGACTAATTTTAGCCGAAATTGAAGGGACTCGAGGAGGGGTAAAGTGTTCTTCTTTGACTGGAGAAAACCGGTCCGGACTCATTAATCTCATTTTCTTTGGTCCGTCTTGGTCTTCTTCAGTTTTCCATTTGGGAATAGAATTAAACAACAGAGGGTTAATAAATGGTGAGTGGTGTCCCGAAGGAGGAAAAATAGGTGGGTAAGGTGAAAAGTGTGTTGGGAAAAACGGAATAGGGCAAGCTGACGAGTTATACATCGAGAAAGGGTTGTTGCTCGCCATTGGCAAGTTCTGTTGGGAGCTTAGCGAAGGAGTTGGTGTTGTCGAATCACAAAATCGCTTATGTTTTGATAGAGAAGTCACCGTTGAGAAGGATTGTCCACACTTGACGCATTTTATTTGCATCCGACAGTCGGCATGCATCCGTTTGTGGCGACACAGGTTCGAGAATTGCGTATAAGCCTGTATGAAATTCCCAATTAAAAAAATTCAAAGTGAGGCCAATCGGTACAAAACCTTAAAGCACACTTCGCACTGAAAGGGCTTCACACTCGAGTGGATATGCGTGTGTTGTTTAAGTCCCGACGATGTTGCGAAAGTCTTTCCGCATTCTGGGCACGCATGGGACCGGGCACCCACGTGATGGATTCTTATATGTCTCTGGAGATTGCTCGGATCTGTAAATACCTGAAAATTTCCACTTAGACTAGTTCTTAACACTGCAAGTCTCACCTTAGGACAATTCTCGCAATGGTATTTTCGATGCTCGCCGTGGGTCACCGATCGATGTTTTATGAGGCAAGGCCGATGGGAGTAGGCTTTAGGGCAAAGGTCGCACCGGTACTCATCTTTGCGGTAGTTGTGTTTGACGATGAGATGGTCGTCTAATCTGGAAATCGGAGTGATGGGTGAAATGACAGCCTCGCATACTTTCGATTTGGGTTTCTTTGTTGATGGTGGATGGACACGCAAAGAGGCGGGAAGGGATCATCAATAACACTTAGAAATGTCAATTAATGAATTATTGAAGAAGTTGGAGGCAAGTGGTGCGATTCCCATTATTATTTTGGTAATTGGTGGGTCGGGGACGATTTTGCACGCGAGAAAAGTAATGTTTATTTAGTCAAGAAATAAACATTTTCAAGTGGTATTCAATAAAAACTCTTCAATTTTTTTCTAATGTAGAGAAGGTAAGAGAAGGTGCAATAGGTAATGCAATGACAAACATATTTAAGAACATCATATCATTAAAAAGTAAAAAAAAATGTGACACAGATCTCTTTTTTTTTATTTTTTCATTTAATTTCAATACAAATTAAGCTTGTATTATTTTAATCCTGTGCTTTTATCTAACTTTGTGCAATCACTTTTCTTTTTGTTAAAAAAAAATCTAAGCTACATTTTAATTACGTTAATCAATATTGTTAATTTGTAATTAGGCTTAAATGTAATACGAGTATATAATTCTAACAAATATTTTGATAAACTTTTTATCGCAAAAAGTAAATTTGAATTTGCTTCCAACAAATATTACATAGATATTAGAATAAAAGACAAAGCGGAAATAAAAAATTTACCAAAAAAAATTTTCGTTATTAATAAATAAATATACAAAAGTAAAGCAGATCTGAGGTCCAAAAGAAGTTAAACAGATATTGTAACAAACATATGCGCCTCACTTACTTATTATAAGTCTAAGTTTATAATTTCTAAAGCTTTTCTGTATGCAAAATATTGATAAACAGAAACACAATCAGTAATTTGAAAAAAAATAGTAACAGAAACTAAACTTGCCTTGTTTCTAATTATTTCTAATGTTTTTTGATAAATACTTTCCAAATTACATTTTTTTATAATAATTTCAGACAAAATAAAAAGTTTTTTAATAATTAAATCTATTATTACTATTATTATTTGGTTTAAGATTAATTTCGGATTAAAAATATTTTAACTAATGCCTTTAATCTTTTTATTCCAATAGTTAAGAAACATAGTTTAGTTTGGGAATGTAATTTATAACTTAATTTTGATTCAAATGTGACGTTAAAACAATCACAAATCATAAATTTGGATTATTTCATTAAAACATCGCTTTATCAACATATAAATAAGTGACAAAGACAAAACAATAAAAAATAATTGCGTTTTATTTAGATTACTACTCGTATTATCCTTATAAAAATGATATGGCTAACAGTGACAAATTATAGTTTAATAACATTTATAAAAAATAACAAAATTTAGAAGATTTATTATTGGGAAAAAATCTGGTTTTACCTCGTGATCTTGTGTCAGTCGAGAACCACACCACGTGCCAAAATCAGTTCTTGTGAAAGCAAAGCGTCAAAGCTGCGTGAAGTGAGCGACTAACCCATCGACTATCGTATAAAATGGGCATCAAATAAACAAATATTTACCCTTCAGTGGCTATAATTTACCGGGAGGACATTAAAACCATATAAAGAGATAATGAACAAGGGAACATTACTATGGCAGACTTATAAATAATAAATAGTACACGGAGTGGAGCATCACGTCACGTTTCCACCGTTGCCACAAACATACATTCCGACTGATAAACAGCCCCGATAAAAGAGTAATTACTAATTAAGAGCTCCATGAACCGGCCGATTAGGTGAATTGTTAATCGAACGGGTAACCACGGTCCTATTTTAAACCCCTTATTTACTCACTTATCTACGTCGGTGAAGGGCTGGTCGCACACGCAACAGCGCGTTTCGGACTCGTCTTCGTCGTCGTCTTCACGGTCGTCCACCGTCCCGCTGTGCTGCGATGCTGCAACAACCACTAAAAATAATTTTTCCAAAAATCACAATTTTTTTAACCCCGAGCTACAGGTACTAAACACATTGAGTGACTGATAGCAAGTCACGAGGGCATAGTGCACCTCCACCTGCCACCCCATTGGCGGATAAAGTTGGCGTCTCTTTTTAACCCCACAAGATACGCTGATTGTAATGTAATAATTGGGAATTGGTGGGAGGTTTCCGGTAGGGGCAAAGTCGGGGGTAATTTCGTTTTAACCCTCGCACGTGATTCCGATTGATAAGTGATTTTATTATCAACGGTTTTAGCGGCGGGGCAGACTGAAACTCAGAAATGGTGGAATCGCCACCAATAAAATTTTCAACATTTAATTGTCAATAAAAAAATTTTATTAAAAATTTCAACCGCAACATTTGCAAAATTCTAGGTCGTTTCGATATTCTACTCCACCTAAAAAATGAGCTACGTTTAGCAAAATTTACCCAAAATATAAAATATTTCATAATTTTAAAAATACCAAAATTTTATACAATCAATATTTTTCTGTTATACATAATTCATTGTATATTAAAGCAAAAAAGTAGAGAAGAAACAAAACTAATACATACAGGGTAGGCTAGGAACTTGCGCCCCAAAGAAAAATCCCATATAAAGATACTAGAAACGTAAAAAAAATATTAAAAAAAGTCTATCTATAAAAATTTAGAAGTTATGAGAGTTTAGATTTAAATAAATAAATGTCGAAATTTTTTGACAGGTAATAATTTTTAATTATTTTTCTGTATTCCTGGTATCTTATCTTATTTTAATCTAGTTTATTAACAAAAATTAATAAACATGATGTTTTATAACTATTTGGTAAATGGTCTCTCAAATCTCATTTTATTCAGTTTAATAATTAAAAAAAATAAAAAAAAAATTGGAGATTGGAGATTGGAGAAATTTTAGAGATTTTTGTTACAATTTTTATATTTCATTTAAAAATTCATAATAGTCATAAATGAGGTTATAAACATTTATTCACTTCTAACAAGGATGTTATTGCTTTTATTTTAATTACCTTAAGTAAACACAGAAATATTAGGACAGTTTTCTTTAATTCATTAATTCAATAAAACTAGAAACGTTTTAAAACAAAACATTTGGTAGAAAAGCCAAAAATGCTAATAACAGTAATAAAAAAAACAAACGTTTAATTACGCGATCCGCCGTTTTCCCTTCTTGGGTCTCTTCCCTTTCTCACAACAGGTGTCCCCCCATCCGCCCCCTTGAGTACGTTACGGTACGTTCCAGTTCTGCTTGAAAGACATCACAGGTGCTTCCAGCATGGACCCATACGGCACAAAATTCAAATTAAAACCGAATTACAAAAGTGTGGGAATGTCCATTTTGGAGTCCGTTAAAGGTGTGAAGCCGTTTACGCAATCAATCGTAATGCACACACCATTAAGTCGTTACAGAACCGATGAGTGACTGCTCAATTTAATTGTTGCCACGAACAAATAAATCACAGAATCATCACTGTGGGTGCCACAAGCCCACAAATTCGATTTGGACTAATTGTCGAAGGTTTTATGGTAATAAGCAAAATAAATAAACAAGGACAATATTTGGGCTTACTTGAAGAGTGAAAGACTCCATTTTGTGCAAGCTTCATGATATAACTGATTAGATATGGCTCAAGGAGCGCATACTTCTGACCATATCAGGATTTGCGAATTTTTGGAAGACTGAAAATTGGGCAAAATCGACCACTAATAAATTAAATAAAAAAAATGTCTAAAAATAACTTGTAAAACGTTCAATTCTGTTGAAAATAAAGACTGACTCACAAAATTGTATATTTTTGAATACCAATATGATCCACCCGACTCAAAATATTCTACTGACGTTATCTCATTAATGACTACTAATATGTTATCTCTTGAAAAACACATTTTTCTAAACAGTTTTGACAGACAACCTTGCAATCAGTCTACAAATTCGTAACCCTTCGATAAAAGCATCTTTATCAGAAGATATATTATTCAAGGTGTGTCAAATTTATACCAGTGCAATAGTGTAAAATCGATGATAAGCTACTACCAAAATATTTATTTTTTATTTAGTCAATTTACGCAAAAAAAATATACAAAAATGGGTGTTTATAAAAAAGTAAAAAAGTGGCTCTATTTCCTCCACAAAAAAACGGGTTTTACCCTTCAGTAGTAGAATTATTATCGTCAAAATTGCCCATTCTCTGTATAAATCGTCGCCTCAGCCCACTAATTGTCATCCTCCACATCGCAAACATCCCCATCAATCACGTAAAACGGTCATATAACCCTATTTTATCTTGATTATGACGCAAAATCCATGACCGGGCCCATCTGTCCGAATCCGCATTACTCATAATAAACACGTAGGAACCATAAATAATGTTTGACGCCCCGTGCCTGATATGACAACTATATCAGAAAAGGGTTCTTGCCACAATGGCGGCGGTAATCCGGACAGGCGCTGTCACGTGCCCATTGTCCTCACCCCCGGACTTAAGTCGCTTTTCGATCGATTTGTTTTTGAGGAAATTTTCGGTAACGGTCAGCGAATCACGTCCGGCATATTGTAAAACACCAATTTGGCGCCAATTACCCTGTCAAAGGGAGTCAAGAGGGCATATGCCGGATATGGTCAGCGTCTTCCGGTTTGTCGTTGAAAATCAAATAAGCCGTCGCGTGTAGTGAGGCGTTTTTTAATGGGACACACGCGATTGAAGCCGGAGATGCGATTTGATAACCGGAATAAACGACTCGAAACGGATTTTTGTAAATTATTTAAAAAATTCGATCCATTGAGATGCAAATCAAAAAGCCAAAAAAATAAATAAAAACCGGGGGTGAAGGTGCAGCACGCCTCTTACATGTGTAACCCCGGCGAAGACCATTAGCGACGAATAATAAATATGTCACAGAGGCGTACGTAACAACCCCACGCCAACAATAGAGAACATATCCCCGTAATAAATCCGATTAATCCCAGCTGCGCATTTTGCAAACATTTTAAACTGACATATCAACCCTTAAAAAACCCTTAACGGAAGGGTCGACATCTCTCGACTTATTCCAAGTCATTTGAAATCGAGATGTGCGCCAGATTAGCCGAGGGTCGGTTAAAGATTTCATTTTTCGATATTATAATTCGACGGAAGCCGCATCAAAGATGGCGCGTTGATAGTGCCATATGGTGCAGCTTTTGTTTTAATGATGAATTCAAAAACAGAGGGTTGGGGGCAGATGTCAATTGGGGGCAAATACACCTGACTTTTAACCGCCAGATTTTGACGTTCGACACACCTACTCGCTATGATTTAACCCCCAACAAAAAATAACCAAAAATGTTTTGTACGTTTTATTTTTGTATATTGTTTAGTACCTGTTTCTCTGTCCGACTTTTCATCAGCGGAGACCGAGTCGCCGAACATGTCCTGCAGGTTGAGGGGTTCTCTAGGTCCCATGATTAGTTCAGCCCCATTGGGAATATCGATGCAGGTTTCATACCACAGCTGTAAAAAATAAATATTAATATATGATAAGTAGGGAAGAAATGAGCAAAAAATTTTATCTGTTTGTCTTTTCGCTTCATTGTTCCCGCCGACGCTTTCAACCTTTCGTCTTGATTTATCTGCTCAACATCACTATTTGACACGGAATTATTCAAAGCCACGATGGTAAAAGGTTACGGTTTTCATTCTTCCTCGTGGGTCTTGTCTGTCTTTAATTATGTAAAAATTCGGCAATCTTATTTTCGCGTTAACACGTCCGCCCTGACATTAAACAACTTTTTTCAAAAAAAGATTCAATTATATCTTTCAATTTTGACAAGAGAAAACTTGAAGGTAAACCGTGATTTTTTAATCTAATTTAAATTTAATTATCGAGACCTACGGCAATGCATATACTTTCCCGTAAAAAAATCGGTCTACAATTAAATAAAAATGATCAAAAAATAAAAATTTTGTTCCGTGCAACACGTTACTGGTAGACATTATGAATTGAAGATTAACTTCTTCCTTTTAGAGCTAGTGCAAGTAATTACGTTAGGGCTAGTTCTTCGTAAATAACACTTATTACGTCCTGATTCAATCATAACAATTAACTTTCGGTTAAAGTTAACGATCGATTGAAACCAATCCTCTAGGCAAGGTTAAATGTTAAACGAATGAAATAATTATTGCTCACTGAAAATTTCTATCATAATCGCCATTTGATGGCAAATAAATCTTCACCTGCTGAAAAATCGCAAAGCTTTCCAAACGCCACCAGCAAGGCTAAGAGATAAGACTCTCCAAGGATTTCTGTTATTGTTTTTGGGGTAATTAGTGGGCTGGAGTGTTCCCACCCGATCGATAACACAATAAAACGATTCACCATGGAAGTTTCAACAAAACATACTTTACGTATATCATGCCATCAAAATCTCATTTTACAGTCATAAATTAATAATTGGATTGTTAACCATGGAGAGGTGTGCAAGCCAAGCACGCGACTTTCATCAATTTTTCAAAGGCTCAGGCGTCGATAATCATTAACACGTTTAGGTCGCTCAAATTAGAAATAATACACAGAAAAAGAATAAAATAAAACCCAATTACAGAAAAACACAAAAAACAAACAACCAATAAAATGCTATGATAATTTTTGATGGGAAAATATTTGTCTTTTCCTTTCCACTCACTTGTCCTCCTTGAAGATAATATCTCATATTTGCAGAATTTTTATCGCAACTACGGATCAGTTTAAGCCAGTTCTGTCGTTCCCCGGAGCCGTCCAGCCATCCCCGCACTCCAGAACCGGCCACGACCTGAAACAACACCGAAATTAGATGAAAGCACATCGAGCAGATTCGATAATAGGACGCTTTTTCCTTTCATGTCATATTTTCCAGGATGTATAATGACGGGATTAAGGATCAAGCCATTAGGGGTTAAGGGCAACTGCTTCCGACAATTAGAGCGCACCCTAAGCGACCGCACGCCCTTGTTTCGCCCTTTATATGACCGGAGTTTAATTGCTGACACGCCAGCAGAATTTCCCAGAGTGGAAGCAAGTTTGTCTTAATTAATATTTATGTTTATTGAGATAATCAATCAGATTTTTAGCCCCACAAACAATTAACAATCACTCAAAGGGTGTAAACAACAAACAAGAACATTAAAAAAATTGATAAAAAATAAATAACAACACATACAAAGTCAACAAAAATATGAAACCAAGCCTGTTTTTACCTTTAGAAAATAATAATTAATTAAAATTAAAGTGCTATAAAAAGTGCGTAGAGTCTTAAGAATAAAATTTTGTTTTGTTTTGTTTTGTTTTTGAATTATGTGTATTGTTTTTAAAAATGGCAATTTATAGGTACAAGCTGGATTATAAAAATACGCCCCAAGACACAACTTCATTAATTTTAAAAATATTACAATACTTCTTTGATTAAAGTTGAACAGTTTTTTGCTATCGCTCGTTTAGTTCTTAGTGATAATTAATAAATAATAAATTAATTAATTATTGAGCAATTGATTGAGCACACATCTCAAATGATAGATGACAAAAAACTGTGCAACTTTGTTCTAAAAAGTATTGTTATATATCTTTAACAATAATGAAATTATGGCTTGGGGTGTTTTTCATAATCCAGCCTGTATTAAAAAATTGAATAAATAATATGTAGATCCTTATATCATAGCTAGTATTATAATGAGTTGACATTTGAAAAAATTAAAAATTTTACGAAATTCAAAAACAATTTCGAAAATTTTTCTACTTGAGAAAAGAAGCAGAAGACGTTTCTTTCACACTTTTCGTTCACCTGGTATATAAAAACAAAGAAATATTAGTTTTATGCTAATCTCCTCACCTTCTTTCAAAATTTTATATTAATTATTGTAATACCAAATTAAATAAAATTATTTACTTTAAGTACAACATTATTTAATTTATGAAACATATACAGGCTACTTTTTCTTAGATCTTCTTGGAATGGAAACGATGAACAAAAACACAATTAGCCCGTCACACCAAACTTTTATTTAAAACACAACGCGTTTCAAAGTGGTCATCCTCAGGTGAGAATAAAAGAGAGTTTTGTTTATACAGAGGCTGATTAAAAAATGTCGGACCATCTCTCAAATGGTGAAATGAGACTTTCAACTAAGCAGAAAAATGAATTCAGATTTTTGTTTCAAGTTCTTTATTGGAAAAAAAAACAGAACTATCAATCTTCATATTATCATGTAGGCATCTTAGTTTTTTGTTTCCGATATTGTTAGAAATAATTTATTGTTAAATTTTCTAGTTTGTTAAATGTTTTTTACACCATAAGACACAAATTGGTGATTTTTTTCAATTGGTATCTGTTCAGTTCTACAAGATCTGGCGTTTCCGCTAACTAAATTCAAGATTACATAATCGGAACGGCCAAAAACTTAATCCAAAACCTAATCTTTGAAGAGCTATATCGTGTGAAAAAACGCTCAAACAATTTTTTGTTATAGGAACTCTTAACTCAGATGGATCTCCTTCATCACCACCCGACACTTTTGAATCAGCCTGTATATTAAATATATAAAATCAAAGTGTTTTGAATCAAGATTAAGAAAAAAGCTTAATTAATTGCTGCAGAGTGATTTTGAAACCCCAAAATTAGCATCCTTTTTGCACTGGCACTCTACCGCTTTTAAAAAACGTGTCAAAGCCATCTTCTGAGGGGCGTCACGGGGCATAACGTGCAGGGAGTGATAATTGATAAGTGCAAGGATAATCGCGCCTTAGATTCAATTTTTATGTAGCCGTTCTAGTTGGCTGGCTCCACTCAAAATCGATACTCTGATCTCGAAGACAACGAGTGCGTGTGAATTGACCACGACGGCTTGCACACTTTCCAATAATTGTACTTTCTATCCATATTTTACGCTCGTTTTTGTCTCATTCGCATGAATTATTTAATTAATTGAATTAATTGACATTTTCTAGTCCGCTTATACACGTCTTCTGATAATTGCATTCACCGCTAGCGCACTATTTATGTCTCATGTGTCTGACTGGTTAATTACTTTCAAGTTAATTTACTGCAAACACATTTGTTAGTTTGCATTTTAATACGGGAAACTTACATCAAAAAACTTCATAAGTAAATAAAAGACGGCCGGATGCGAATCCTGCAACTTAAAACCCGGAGGATTTTTCAGGCGAATTTCAGTCGTTGTAGCGCCATCTCGAGGGACTTGACATAACGTGACGTTTACCTGAGCGGAAATCGAAGTTGGCTGTGCACCTGAAGAACTATAGGTAATGGATAGTTATGCGAAGCACCGAAAGGTGACAGCACTACAGCATTTGGTTTCTTTAGCAATTAAAATTATAGAAATGCTATCAATCACATACGGGAATTAAAGTGTCAAAGTGATTTATGTTTTTTGCAATAAGTTAATTGTATTGACCTTGTAATACATCAGACTTATCTAAAATAAGACCATTCTCCAGAATGATTTTTCACTGAATTAAATTTGTAATTCTTGTGTGTTGTTTTAATTAGCATCGGAGAGGGTGAAGGGTTTACCCATCGCTCGCAGCTTGCCCTCGCCCGGTTATAAACGATCAACTTCTGCCCGGAACCGTATTCAATCTCAAGTTATCTAAAAGTTATTTCCTAAATGTCAAAACAAGAAGTAGATAATTGATCATATAAGACAAGGTACGGTTGCCCCCTGCGAGGGAGATAAAGGGTCGTCGGGACAGAGACAGCAAGAGGTCAAACTACCATCATTGGCAGCTGTCTGTTGATATACGAGCTAATAACCGCTGCGACACTTTGATTATTGCGACGTCACGACGCCCACCCCCCCGAATTACCACCCTCCGTCTTGCACTTAATTCCAACGACGAAGCTTAAACTTGATTACTTGACCGACTTATTCGTGACGTAATCTTTGCGAATAAATCAAACCCGAACAATATGGGATTGACCTTTATGGGTATCGCGACAAATGTTATCGGTAGCCCTTACAGCGTGTTAAGTGACATCTGCTGTTTATATGCGGATTATTGGACAGGGACACTTTCCCTAAACTCACATTTTTCAAATACACCACTAGAATAAAATATAAAATATGTATCACACATGGCAATTGATTAAAACCCTTGTTTATAAACTGACTACAATTTGTTATTTGAATAATAGAACCGATCCATTTTTCTCAAATATTTGAAAACTTACCTACTCAGTTAGTAATTTTTTTTTGCATAATTAATCTTTTTTCATTACCCTTTTTTTTACATTCAAATCATTCATTTATTGGTATTAAAATTTAATAATGCTTTAGTTATTTTTTGTTTAGTTTATTTTGAAGAAAATTTTCATCATAAATCTGGGGCACAATCGCAGGAAAGTATGTCACGCTACCCGTTTTTTGCAAACTGAAATCTGTTTTCAGTTTTGGAAGTGTCAGAGCCATTATTGCTATTTTACTCAAAAACACCAACACAAATCACAAAAAGTTGAAAAATAGAATATAAAGAGGTATATTTAAGTTGTTTCCAAATTTTAAAACAATTCAGTAATGTTCATGGGCGCCCTCAGGGGGGGGGGAGCAGTGGGAGCCGTTGCCCCCCCTGGGACAATAGTGGTTGCTATTTTATATAAAAAAAGATTTTTTTTAATTTTATACAAACTCAAAAAAATTTTCATGAACGAAATAAGAAACTACTATTTACATTTTTATCACGAACTGGGTGATATGAACAGACGAATATAAAACTGTTATTATTAATTTCGACTCTTTCTCCCCCCCCCCCCTGACCATAATTTCTGCGGGCGCCCATGGTAATGTTGAAGAAAATCTGCTAAGTTTTGAACGTAAAAAATAGTCGATGGGGTAAAAAAGTCAAAATACCTAAACATGCCTTATTAGAATGTTTATAGTTTCTGAAACATAGAGAGTGCATTTTAGCGTTGGAAAATTCGTCAATAGAATACAATATGAACGAAGTTTGCATCTAGTACCTACTTTATTTCAAAATTTACATTGCTACGAGTATACCTAGTAGTCAATGATATTTGAGGTAACGAAATTCGGTGCTATCTTTTACAAAAACATTTGATGATACAATTTTTTAAATATGAGACCACTTCTTTTTGGGGCTGTTTTTATCAATGTAAGAACGTAGGCAAGTTGAGTTATTTTGACATCTTCAGACCTCACCTCTCCAAATCTTAGCTCAACTATTAAAATCACTCTGTATAAGCATCACGAACTATCGCTCACAGAAAGTAAAAAAAAGAAACAACTGCTTTCTACGAGTACTGGGAAAATGTCCTTACCATTCTTAATAGCTCATATTTTTTTACTTGACTTTCACAATAAAAAACAGTGATTAAAACTTAAAAAAAATGTATTTGGTGTCTGGCCCAAAATATTTGCTTCTTGCGTTTTACTTTTCTGATTTTTTTAACCAGTCCTTCACAGCAGAAACTTTTAGGGTGTAAGCCACTGCTTTCTACAAATACCTTCTTATAGAAATAATCAATAAAATTTCCGAAATTAAATTTTTAACACATTTTTTTTTAATAATTATTGCATTCGATGTAGATTCCAAATTTTACAAAATGAAAAGAAAATATAGATATATAACGAAAATGTATAATCGCTGCGATTTATTATAAATCCATAATTAGCTAATTACCGATACCTATATCAAAATTTTTGACTATTAATTCTTAACTAAATCTGGAACAAAAATAAAAAGGATAAATTTAATATTGTACTTAAATTTCACATGTACCGATTATCGAATCAAGTCGATTCG